CCTCCCACTCTATCCAGGATCTCCAACGCTGATCCCTTTCCGAGGGGTTGGCTTTGGTAGCTGGGCACCATCTGGTTCTTCTGCTTTCAGGGCTGTGAAGGCTGAGGTCCCTGTGGCCCATCACACACTTAGACTTATTATTTCCTATTGACTTTGATTTTCTTCACTCTTCTTTGCTCCAGATGAGGGAAGACCAATAGTTGCATCTCAGATGAAAGCCATGCCCTTCCATGAATTTAGAAATCCAGGTGAACCCTGCTTTGAAATCTGGGGTTCTTCTTTCATTTGCCAGAAGCTTCGCTTTGATCTCAGTTGGGACAGTGGAGGCAGCTTGATTTCGTTCCCTTCAAGAAATAACCTACTCTTTCAAGTCGTTCTCAAACTCTGGTTATTTCCCTTTGGGCTCATAACACGTGTGTTTTCATGGACTCATTTTCTCCACCTCTCTTTTCTCCTGTCTCCATTCACAAATGGACAACTCTCCAACCTTGAACTCTCTCACTGCTGCTCTGTTGCTTGTTTCTTCTGTCCTCAAAATGACTTTCAGTTTGAAGCTGGTGATATAGGACTTGCATTGAATTCTTGACATGATCCTAAAGGGTTCAAAGATTTAAATCTATAACCTGAAAAAATGTGCATCATATAATGGATGGTTCTAGGAAACCCATCACAAAATTCAAATGTGAGGTATGCAAGAACCAAGGGTCTTTTATATGCTCACAAGCACATGACTGAGGTGACTCATGACCATTGATTAAAGAGTGGCAGTAATAAGACGTAATTGAACTACGAAATAAGAAGACTTAGCTTAAATATTTCACTTAAGATGGTCTGATAAGGTTTTTCCATACAACTGTTGAGCCAAGAGAGATCATGTATCAGTTATGCTTTATTTACTCCTCCAATTAAAAGCCAGAGTCCAAAGACCACTGTGATAATTGTCAGTGCAGATTGGATCGAGATTCCTATTGATAGCTGTTATCCCTAAGTTAAGTGCTGTCTAGTTAGCTCCGACTTGTAGGGACTCTATGTGCAACAGAATGAAACACTACCTGGTCCTTCGCAATCCTCACAATGGTTTCTGTGTTTGAGCCCATTGTTGCAGCCACTGTGTCAATCTGTCTCATTGAGGGTCTTCCCTCTTTTCACTGACCAAGCATTATGTCCTTCTCCAGGGCCTGGTTACTCCTGATAACATGACAAAAGAACGTGAGACAAAGTCTGGCCATTATCACTTTTTTTTTTCCACTTTATTCCTTTATTCTATTTATTTATTTATTGTGCTTTAGGTGCATATTTACAGAGCAAAATTTGTTTTACATTCAACATTCACTTCTAAGAAGCATTCTTGCTGTACTTCTTCCAAGACAGATTTGTTCAGTCTTCTGGCAGTATATTCAGGATTCTTCACCAATACTATAATTCAAAGGCACTAATTCTTTGGTCTTCCTTATTCGTTGACCAGCTTTCTCATGCATACGAGGTAGCTGAAAACACCATAGCTTGGGGCACGCACACCTTAGTCTTCAAAGTGATATCTTCTTTTTAACAATTTAAAGTGGTCTTTTGCAACAGACTTGCCCCATGCAATACATTGTTTGTTTGATTTCTTGACTGCTCCTTCCATAGTTCTTGATTGTCCCCATCCATTGCCATCAAGTCAGTACAACTCATAGTGACCCCCATTGGGTTTCAAAGGCTGTATATCTTTATGGAAGTAGATCACCTCATCTTCCTCCCATGGAGCAGCTGTGGTTTGAACTGCTGACCTTCTGGTTAGCAGCCAATTGCCTTACCCATTACACCACCAGAGCTCCTTGGCTGTTGATTATGTACCCAAGTGAAATGAAATCCTTGACAACTTGAATATTTTCCCCATGTATCATGATGTTATTTATTGGTTCACTCATGAAAATTTTTGTTTTCTTTATGTTGAGGTGTAATCCATTTGACTGTGTAGTTCAAAACAATTTATGGATAACATTGCGAAAAACAGGAATTCCAGAACACTTAATTGTTCTCATGAGGAACCTGTATATAGACCAGGAGGCTGTCGTTTGAACAGAACAAGGGGGATGCTGCATGGTTTAAAATCAGGAAGGGAGTGCATCAGGGTTGTATCCTTTCACTATACTTACTCAATCTGTATGCTGAGCAAATAATCCAAGAAGCTGGACTATGTGAAGGAGAACATGGCATCAGGATTGGAGGAAGACTCATTAACAATCTGCAATATACAGATGACACAACCTTTCTTGCTGAAAGTGAAGATGACTTGAAGCACTTCCTGATGAAGATCAAAGACTACTGTCTTCCGTATGGATTACACCTCATGAAGTAAACAAAAATCCTCACAACTGGACCAATAAGCAACATCATGAGAAACGAAAAAAAAAGATTGAAGTT